TACTTTTTGTATGTTAGATAATTGCAGTGGATGGGGGATCCCTGCTATAATCCGTTCATTGACCTGCCCTGGTACTAGCAGTAAATGACATAAAAGCCTGTACTGCAATCTCAGGATGGAAACTTCTGTTGTGTGAGTCTGGCAAAAAGACTTTTACACCCAATTATCACAGAGTGTGCTGCCTGGTTATGCCTGTGCTCAGTATCTCCCTCATTAAGTTTAGCCCTTCTTCCGGCCTGTGCCTCACTAATCAGAGCTAAGTAACATTAATCCTTTTCCTCCTCAGCCCTCTCCCACATAAAGATGTATGGGGGTTTGAGAACAGAGCTTGTATTTTCAAAACAAGGGCTCTCTCTTTTTGACGCTCATGCAGAAGAAGCTAAAGCTAGGAAAAATGGCATTATTTATCCATCTGTGACCTACCCATTTCCTCTTTCCCACTGCTAAAGCCAGTGTTACTTACATCATTTTCAGCACAATAAATTTCCATCATTTTCACAGATGCTCTCCCTCCTCTAGGGATTTTTCCATTGCAATTGGTACTATACGATTCTAACCACCTCTCCCTAAATTACATTACCTTCATTGGAAGCATTCCCATATAACAAAGTGCAGCTGTGATGCAATGTACCTTGGGTGAGTATTCTGAAGTGAATTCAAAGGTATGAGCATGACACTGCATTTGCTCTTTCTGCTTGCCACTGGCTGCCTTGTGAATAGCATGCTCATATTGTTTGCCAACTTGCAGAAAAGAAGCTGGTTTTATGAATGCCTACTGTGCACATACACAGACACAGTGAAATTTGGCAGACAGGAGCAAGTTATGACAGGTTGTCATCAAATTATTTGGTTATATTTTATACCAACAAGGATTTTTATACCATCCAGATTAGTTGGAAGGAGGATGAAGGAAGTATAAAATGCATTTTAGACAAGATTTTCATTTAAAAGTAACCAAGTTTGCTAATTCTAATGCCCAATCACAACCTCTATTTTTTCTTATTATTGGTTCCCTTCCAGCTTAGTGGTAATGAAAACAAAATAGTCTTGGCCAGCCATTTATGTGGAAGGAAATTATGAGCACATCATGTCTCACCAAAGCAATGGGTTCTGGTGTGATTTTTGTGCATGGTATAACTAGGCATCCCATCTAGTCAAGAAAACCGAGCTCTGGATGAAGCCAGAAGACACAGGGAATGAAATAAAGCTTATCAGGACCATGAATACCTAGAGGTTCCAGGCTGAGAGAACCATAGACCCGATCAGGATACTTTGATTTCCATTCAGAGCCTGTCCCTTCAGTCTGAGGTAGGTCCCAGGCTACTTTGGAAAAATGGGTGTTTTGGCTAGAGGGATTTGGAATGCAGATGTCTAGGTCATTTCTATTTACAATAATGCCTGCAGCTCACTGAGAGCATCTTTCTGTTTTTTCTGAGTAGGTTTGTTCCAGTTAAGCCTGCTTCCAGTTTTCATATGTATTCTAAAATGTTCAGGTCTGTGAGTTTTTCACTTGGAATAGAATCTGCACAAAAGAATTAATGTTTGACTGGATTTCTGAAGCATAAGCAGTTTGCCAGGAAGTAACTACTTGCATTGCAAGTGCTTCCCCAGGAAGGTCAACTGACAGAGGTGTTTTTCACACTCCCCTCAAAACTACAGGTTTCTGCTTGTCCATTATGTGATGCTCTAAGGATTGAGGCTACACACGTTCATTTAATATTATAGTTCCCTCGTGATATCTTCACTTTCCTTAATGAGGACTGTGTTGCTGACTTGTTAGGAGCCTGAGGACTGAATCAAATTAACATAGCATGGAGGAGAAATTAACAGAGAGGGGAGCTCCTTGTGTGAAATGGAATGAGATCACTGATGGCCCTGTCTTCAATCTTCATTTTTGTATGTCAGACAAAATGTTAACAAAGATAATACAGAACACTGTTACTCAGAACTGCGATGCCCTTGTTTTTAATCAATAACCTGAATGACCAAAAGTAATTAATCTTTTGCTGTTCTAATTATATAATAAAGCAAGCATGATTTGATTGTGGGAAAGAAAAGGAAGGGGCATGGGTCTTGTCAAAATTACTGGGGAGAAACAACCCCAATGAGTAAAAGGATTGTATAGTTTTGCATGTGTCAGAAGTCACACTGTTGTGTTGGTAGGATAATGCTGTGCTTCTGCTAATATGCAATAAATCAGAATGCAGCTCTTTCCATAAAGCAAAACCTGGCAAGGGTCAGAGAAAGCAACAAAGGAATGCAGGAGAAAGAAAGCCAGGCAATGGATTCATGAAGTAAAGGGCATTTCAGTAGAGACCTCCATACTATGTTTTTCTTTAAAATTTTCCTTTGCAAAATATGGTTGATGAAATGCACCCTCTCTGCAGTGATTTTTGTCAGCCATACATACCACTATTTTACTGTCACAGAAGGTACTCAGAGAAACTGGGAGGGTGTATGAAATATATAGCCCATGTAATGTTTGTAAAGATCAACTTGCTGCAGTTTTGGCCTGTTAGTGGTTGTGGCTTGCTTGTGCAATGGTAGTGCCTAAAAGGGGCTGTAAGTGCTCACTGCAGGACATCTGCTCTGCAGTGGTAGTGGGGCAAGGTGCTGCTTCCACACAACCTTCATTTGTGGTTTCACTATGCAAAGTGAGTGAGTCATTGCTGACAGATCCAAGGAGCTGTAAGACCAGGCATGATTGGTGTGCTGACACTGATTCTTCTAGATAATGCTAGCTAATGGTTATTGCCAAATGTCTGTCTCACTCTCTTCTTTTTTCTTTGCAAAGTCTACCTCTCCACTTCTATGATTCTTCAGTGCTGGGAATGCTGGATGCAAAATCTTGCCTCAACCCCCTTCGAGGTGCCACATGCAGGATCATCTTCCCCTCCCTGATGGTGGTTATTACAACAAGAGGAGCTAATAAGGGACTAAGCCAGTCCACAGAAACCTGATAATTAACTCTGGGGCACACCTGGCTGTACCTTGTAGTGGTAAACAATTGCAGCAAATATACCCAAGATCAGCAAAAACCAGTTCCCTTTTATCTGGTTCTTGGCCTAAAGGCTAACGTTTTTGAATAAAGAAGCCCTGGCCATCGACATTTTTGTCCCAGTATAGTCAAAGATTAGTTTTGAAAGCACTCAGAGGCAGCCCAAGCTTGGGTTGGCTTTGGCAAGGTGCACGTGTGAGCATCAGTTCCCAGAGGGCGCTGCCATCTGCTGCTGGTGCACTGGGGACCTTCACTGCTGTTCGCCGGCAAATGGCTATGAAACCCTCGTGGTCAAGCCCTGCTTGGTTAAAGACACCTCACAGTCATAGGCCAGATAGACTTGTTTTGTTTCTTAAAGTTCCAAAGACACAATATACAAATACAAATATAAAGGCTTACAAGTCACATCCACAAACATAAGTTTGGGGGAGTGATGCTCTGTGAGAAGAAGTGCTAATTAGTGACACCTTCTGCTACAGAGCCCAGCAACAGATGGGTCTTACTGTAAATGAGTGGTTGGTCTGAAAGGACTATGCTCTGGGGAACCTGCAGGAGTTAGACAGATTTAGCTACACCAATTGGTAATAATCTGTGGACAATGAACACAGGAGCTAAGGTTTGTCAACTTACAGTATAGACAAAATGACAATAGGATATGCTTTGGAAAAGTGACTGCAAAGTTTTATCCTTTTTATTTCTTTTTGAACATTACCACGGTCAAGTTCTTCTCTTGACAGCATTGGAAGAGAATTGGACTAAAGAATTTTTCAGGTTCTGCCTCAGACCCTTTGTTAGATCTTAGTCAAGTCACTGACTCTTGTTGTACTTCATAACTTAAGGACACTAATATTTCAGTCCTTTCTATGTTCTTTACCTGTGAGTTGTCTGGCGCAAGCTCTTGGTCTGCATTTATCATCCCTAGCCTTCAAGCAGTCAGAGAGGAAAAACAGCAAGTTGGAAATATTTTTGTTTAAAATCTCTGGTTAGAATACTTTCAATTTTCAAGCAGAATCTTGAAATCTACCAAGAAAATCAGACATTTTGTACAGACCCCTCTGCCCCCGGACTTTTCATTTTCTATCGGGAAAAAAATCCATTCTATTATCTGCAATCGCAAAGCCTGGTAGACATATTTCTGAGATGTGCGACTCCTGTATTAAAAACCAGAGAAGAATAGAGGTTAAAATAGGTCTTCCCTATTTCAGTGAATGCCTTAGACCCTCTGATGTTGGCTGTAACAACACAGAAGCTCTTTCCTGGGTGTTTCTTTTTGAGTGGCTCAGGTGGAGGGTTTCTGCTCAATGGGCTAAAACATTTCCTTCCTGTGGCACTCCGCTGAGCTTCCAGCTTCACATGAGTGTCCCCAGCACAGTCCTGGAGCCTGCAGGCTCTTGAAGGTTTAATGAGGCTTTTTTAGAAAGGAACCCCTCTGTAAATAGGCTTTCTTTACCTACAGTCTGTAATGAAATCACTCAAGAATCTGACTTTAGGAGACTTTTTGTCTCCACCAATTGCACAGTTAGGGAAGTTGAGGGTGCAAAGAACTCAGTCTCAGGTCTGCTCTGTAGGAATAGCACCACATCCTCATCTTCCTTTTCTCTTTTGTATTTTTGAAGGATTGGGCAGTTTCTAGCTTCACTAATCTGCTTGTATCAACAGGGCCAGGTGGTAGGGACAGTTGTGCCAGAGTAGGACTGTGGCTGACCCAGGTGAATCCCTGAAAACATGCTCAAGAACTGGGGAGTAACAGTGCTCTGTGTACTCAAGCTGGTTTCTTGCAGAGCAAGCAGGTAAAGTCTGGGAAATTGCCACAGCTCCTCATTCTTTCGTTTTCCCCTAAAACATAGCTATCAAAACCGTAAGTGGACACTTGTATTTCGTGGGATGAGCCTTTATTGAAATACTTTACATTTAGTTCCTCCGCTCATGTAATTTCATCTTTTCAAAGAGATAGATGATGTACTTTGCATGGGAGTCTCTTGCTGGGTTCTCAAAGCCATTTTTAAGAAACAGTCCATGTAAGTACGATACTGAGGTAAAGGCTTAGGCCCAGGCTGCTGGAGGACAGCATCACAGCCCCGCCTGGGAAGTACTTGTGATCAACATAGTCTATGATAGTTGTCACAGCCAACATAGTCTCCTCACATGTGGGCTGGATCTGGTCAGGGGGTAGAACAAATCCATGAGCACCCTTGTCTCTCAGTTCAAATGTGTAGGAGAAAGGAATGCCAATCATGTGAGCCCAGTCCCGTGAGGAGCCTGAGTTACTGTCTGTGAATTGAAAAACAAAGGGGAGCGATCTGTATTAAGCATTGTTGGAAATACTTTCTGCTATAGTTAATGCAAGATTATACTAGAAACCCTGAACTAAGCAATAATCACATATCACTGTGACATGGAGAGCAGAATTTCTAGGTGTTGCAATTCTTAATTATACTAAAAGTCTTCCATGGAGTTTCCTAAGTGAAACAATTCTTCATGAGATTCATGAGTTCCACAGATTCTGTGTTTTTAGCATTTTACTGTGACTAGTGTGGGATACAAGATGGATTTGCCATTTATCTGCTCTGGTACTTCATTTCCTACATTGGCATTGCCTGGAATTTCTTTGTGTATTTGTTGTTAAGCATAATGTTGGTCAAGCCAGAAAAATTTCTGCCTATTCCCTGTATCATTGTTCATATGCCTCACAAATCTTTTTTCTTAGCTATTTAATAAAAGTACAAACCCTAGCAAAATGCAGTCCTAGGCCTGGACAAGTTGCCTTATACATTGCTCATGCAGTAGGTGACTCTGAGACTGGCACAGACAGACACTGTGAATATGCAAAACCACATGGGTACTGGAGGCAACCACTTACTGTTCTAAGTGATAGACATGACTTACTGCTTACTGGGAAGATACTGGGTTTACCAGGTAGTGTCTAGGGCCTGCTGGTCCTCTCTCTACAGGCTGTCAACTAGTATCATCCGTGATGCTGTGTTTGTGATGTGACTACCAAGTCTATTAGGAACAAGGCTGAAACCAACATATTTCACACAGAACTGCAAGCAGCTGCCTTGTGATAATGTCTGAGGGAGTTACTACAGACCTGATTGGGATTTTAATTTTTGCTTGACTCCAGTGAAGACAAATAGGATTTTGGCTGCTGACTTCAGCAGGATCAGGATGATCTATCACAGATCTCCTTCTGGCCTCTATGATGTATCTGTGAGGAATTCATGTAGGAACTAGCTTCTGATCAATGCTTCCTTCTTTCCCTCAGTCAGCTTTATAATTTACAGTGTTATCTTCTATTAAAATGACTGCTGCTTAGATGATCCACTGAACCAGCCCATTAAATATTACTCAAAGAGAAAACTCAGCAAAACAATGCTTACTGATGCTTGTGACACAAAAATGACTCTTTTCTTTGAAAAAAACAGAACAATCAAAGGGAAACATAAAAAAACTTACATAAAATTAAAGAGGTTGATCCTACTTCATAGCTGGTCCCGTACTTTTCCATCAGGGCAGCAGCTGCTTTCTCTGCAACATACATCTGTAAATTCAAAATAAGAAAAGCATGGTCATCAGTGCCAGTACATTTAGCAATTATTTTGAGTGGACCAAAAGTTTTGCCTCTTTCAGTTTTACATTTACATGTGATCAACTTTAAGTTTTGATATTATTAATTCAAGACTAGCGAAATCCATTACAAACATTTGGGCAAATTGCTCTTGACTTTTTAAATGCAAATTATGCTAAAGTTTTAAAAGTTACTCTTTTATTAGGTAGAAAAGATACTTGCTTTGTTATAAAGCTAGAGGGCAGGATTCTGGAGAATCAGTCTCTGTGTTGTATAGCATACTGAAACTGGTGGCAGCACTGACCGATCTCACACTTGTTCTATTGCCGCACACTCTGTATCCCACCATCTTTAGAAACTGAGCCATAGACAGACTAAATGAATTCTCCAGTGACTCAGACAAAGTCCGAACCCAAAATGCCTTGTGCTCTTTACTAGTGCTGCAGCTAGTTCATAAATACATATATTAATGATTCAAATTAGAACACTTAGAAGCTGAGGGTTAGAAGTAAACAAGAAGTAGGTGTCTGCTTTGCTCCCATTCTCCTGGTGAGCCACATTTGAAATACTCTTTCTAGACACAATCGCTGACAACCATATATATGTAATGTGCTGAGATCCTAAAGCACTTAGGATCATGGTTTAGTTGTGGACTTGGCAGTTCTGGGTTAATGTCTGGATTTGATGATCTTAAAGATCTTTCCCAACCTAAATAAATCTGTGATTCTTGTACGCAATAAGAATTTGGTGCACTTCTCCGCTTGCGTTGCACTGCAGTAACCCTCTCTCTAATAGTTCAATTTTCCTGATTTAAGGTGAAGGATTAGGATTAATTCTGCAGCAAACAGGCCTTGCTGATACTGCGTGGAGCAACAGTACCTCTGGGAGGCAAGCCCCTGAGTCAGCCCAGCTCCTCTGAAGGAAAGGCAATGGGGCAGGTAGAGTTGTGTCACATGCTACTGCCTGTACTCGTTCTCTACAAATGTAGACAATAAATGTTTTGCCCTACCAGTTCTTCACTGTTACTTGCAGGTTCAGTTGTGGAGCCATACGGAATGAGGATGTACTGTCCATAGGAGTGAATTGTTAAATAGCACAAAATGTCACTCTTCTTCTTTTCAATTAATTGAGCCACAGCTTTTGTCTCAGGCTCTGATTCTGGTCCAGATCCACAGAAGATGATACTGCTGCAGTTATAAGAAACACCAATACCTGGAGAGGAATACAAAAAATGAATCAAAGGAGAGGAAACAGTTCAGAGGAAACAGGGTAATCTACCTTAGAGAGTTAAGGCATGTGTTTATATGGGCAGGAAGACTAGATTGCTCAGTGGGACTTCAACAGTATACCCTGTTGGTAGCAACTAAAATTTGCTACAAGACTGAAATATTTAACTCACATTTACAGGCTGACTGCAACGAAAACACTTTGACACCACCACAGTACACCACCTGCCAGGGAGGCTCCTTGAAATTCATGGCAAACATAAATATTGGCTGTTAAGTGACTAACTCCTAACACTGCTACCTAGGAGCTGATGCTTGCTCCTGCCGTGAATTAGAGGTATAGTTATATAAGCAGCAATTTTCTGCTCACAAAAATAAATGTCAGTTGAAGGTCAATGATAATATTTTTACAAACCAGGTTTTTATTTTTACATCTGTTTTGATGACAACAAGATAAGTGTTTCTTTCTTACAGGTCTTCATCTTATTTCAGAGACTAGCTATTACTCTTGCTTTACATTTGTGTTGCTGATCTGAAATAGCTGGAACTTACTGCCCCAGGAGGAATTGAAGTTTCGGTTCAGATCTGTGCCATAGCAGGTGCCATTCATATATGGAGAACGATTTTTCCTCCATAAACGGTCCTAAACAAAAGTAACTTCAGTTACATTATAACAACTCAATGATCCATAGGGCCTGGTAATAATATGAAGTAAAGTCTCTTTTATTTTAGACCTCTGCATTCTGAGTAACTCTTGCATTGTAAGAGTACAACTCTGTATGAAAGGGTGATAAAGCTTAGTGATGGAACATTTTATCTACTACAGCCAGGCTGTCATCTTCCACAAGCCTGCTTGTACCTTGAAATGAGCCTTCCAAGCTTTAAAAGAAGTAGTATGCTTTTTATGAGTACTCAACTGCTTCTATCCGGTGCTGCACTTTTAAGAAAAATTTGGCATTGTGAGGGATACCTCTATGTCCAAGGGAAGATAGCTCAACTTCCGTTTGTTTCAGATTCAGGAAGATGAATACTTTCATTGTCAGCTTAACTTGCATGTTGCTCCTTGGTTCCCTGCTATATTCACTGCTGTACAGGTGTCCCTGCCCATGGCAGGGGGGTTGGAACTAGATGATCTTAAGGTCCTTTACAACCCGAACTATTCTATGATTCTATGATTCTATGACTCTGTACTTATTTCCCTGAGAGCTCACAGCACTGCCTGTATGAACTTCCTAGCTGAATTACCAATGAATCCATTTGCAATGTGTGGTTGTGTCCCAAACCTTCCGGGGAGCAAGCAGGATCCATACGGTGTTAGGCTGAGCTTGTTAGGCCATGCTAAGGTCCTGCATTAAAAAGTGTTTTGGCTGCACTCAGGAGCCTGCAAGTATTATGAGAGCTGCCGAAGACCAAGAGTTTGCATTATCCTCCATATCAGAAAAGGAAGATTGTTTGGGAGGGCACTTCTACTTCAAAACCAAATAGCCAAGTATTTCACCTATTTTCCCCCTGTCCCATGCTGCAAAGGTGCTTAGACCCATCTGCTAGTTGAGATCTCTTGCAGAGAATGACTGACTCCTCCAGACATGCTTAACCCCAGCAGCCAAGCCTTGAGCTGTTAGCAGAGAAGTCCATCCCCAGAAACCCAAAAGCAATTGATCCTGTGGTTTTGTCGTCTTTTCCCAAGGCTCATGACATTTGCCAGGAATTCCTAGCCCTGTAATCTCAAGCGACTGCTGATTTACTGGAAGCAACAAAATCTCTCTGCCAGGAGAGGATTTGTGTGAGTAATGATTCTGTCACTGTTCTCTGTTTAAATATAATTGCTATGATTGTATCTAAAATTAACAAAACATGCTATGCACATCTAACTTTCCACCTAGTTCCTGGATTTTCATTCATTACTTACTTTTTCCCAGGAATAAATGTAGCCATCAATATTGAGGACTGGCAAGATGTAGAGGTCCAAATTCTGCAGAAATCTGCCTATGTTTGGGTCAGATTTGTAATTCTGAAGAATCTGAAAAGAAAAAAATACAGAGGATTGAGCAGAGAATCTAGTGGTAATCTGGAAAGAGCTAGTTTAGAACTATCATCAGGGGATCACCCACTACTGGGTATCACCATGGTATCCAAGATCACGTTGTTCCCCAGATATGTTGATACCATAGAATCATAGAATGGTTTGGGTTGGAAAGGACCTTAAGATCATCTAGTTCCAACTCTCCTGCCATGGGCAGAGACTCATGCTATATCCACCTGTTGCCATTTACAAAAGAACAGTGTATAGTGCACTTCAGACAGATATAGGTATGAAAGCTGCAAGATGGCATACCTGTGCACCAGGTACTTCCCATACGCATGGAACATTGCTATACCGTATTTCAGGGTTGCTTTGTTCAAGGGGGACTGTGGGTTTGTGGTGCAAAGCGGTTTGATCCAAAAACCACTCTGTGATATTGAGAGGTCGCTCTCAAGATCAGTGTCTTTGAATCAATTCAGGTGGAGGAAACAATGAGGTAACAAATATTCTCCCACATCTCATCTTAAACTCTGATTAGAACTTAGGTCTCCGCAGGTATCTGTACTTTGTACTAATTTCGAAAATAATATTTTAATAGGAAAGCACAATTCTTGATACCAAAATAGAGAAGATAGCTGAAGTATCTGAAATTATATGGGGGTTTTTATTCTCTCAGTGGAAAAGCAAGGACTCACTTCTTTCACAAACCACTGGCAAAAAGCTGGAGTGATCCATTCTCTGGCATGAATCCCACAGTCCATCCAAATGATCTTTTTAGTTTTATCCGATGGTTGACTGATCTGAAAGAGTGTAAAAGTGATAATTTGGAAATCTGTTACATTAGAATAAAATAGCCTAGCGTAATATAGAGAGAAAATGATGTGTCTTGATATGTTATTAAGCCATCTGAGATTATTAGTGGTATTACAGACATCATTATGACTATCTCCTTTTCCTAATACCCCCCTCTCTGTAGTATCACAGGGCAAGAGTTTGAGAGTGTCTGTTGAGCAGGAATGTCAATGAAACAGTTTCTTTTTCATTTATATTAGTCATTCACAGGACTGGTTGTTCTTACTTTGAGATTTATTTAATTGTTTTTAAGAAGGGGAAGCACAAAAAGGCAGGGAATCTAATTTTACACAGTGATAGGAACAGATTAGGCAATGACTAATACAATTATTAAGACTATGGTTTTTACTAGAATGTCCAATACAAAATGTCATGGAATACTCCGAGCAGAAAGGCTATATGCTGTAAGAGGTAATAGAAACAACAAAGCAAAACACTTTATCCTCACGCACAGCTGTTGCCAGGCCAATTTCAGCTTGATTTGTATTTCTAAGCAAGACTTCAGTTAAATTTGTTGTTTTCACTGTTTAATACCAATAACAAGGTTATAGTGATAATATATATGAAAATTGGCAAGTCTTACTTGTACTGTAGAGGACTAAAACCATCTCCTGTTATTTTAATGAATTGGTATGAACACTGTTTTAGGAAAAATCTGAATCCTGCCTTCTCCTGTGTACTTTTTTATGGAGATACCTTTTATTCATTTTAAGAAAGCTCCCCTCTTACCTGCAGATAATACATTGGTCGATTCTCGACTGTATTCCCCAGGTAGTGCTGAGTCACCAGCTCACTGTTGCTGTTCTGGATCTCAGTCATCCACTGATAAATCTAAATAGTCATAGATTGTGAGTTTCCTTCTTTTTCCACTACCATTTCCAGATTAAAGCATTTTCTTTTGCTTAGACAAGCAATATTAGAGCTTATTTCAACCTGTGGTATCACTTAACACTCATGGAAGGCCTTCCACTTGTCTCTGAGCAAAGGCATGGTTGTATCTCACTGGGTGTTAGAACATAACATCACTGCAATACCACACTGATACTCCATTCTGAATCTCATTCCACATGCTCATCCTATTGGGAATCTTTCTGTTGACTTCAACAGACAGGGAGCCACACTGTCAAATCTTCAAAATAGCACCACAGACTCTTCCCTGTCAGTACTGATTTTCTCCATCTGAGCTCAGCAGCAGTCATCCCCAATAGGTAGCTCAAACAAAACATGCATGAGGTTTGACTCTGCTTTTACACTTACTATGTGGGTAGGAGGGAGAATACCAGCATGGTCTGCATGTCTCCAGGCTTACCCTCTGATCTATGAAACATAGCACCAAGAAGTTTTCACGACCCACCCTTATGACATTATTCTCTCCTTAAGAGAGAATGTCAAAAACCTGTCCTTAAATTACTTCTTTCTACAGATCTCGCACTGTTCATCTCTTCTTCCTCAGCAGGATTACAGAGACCGCAATAGTCATTGCGCTTCATATTTGTCTCAGCATCAAACATACTAGGACTTAAACAAATAAATGCTAGAGATAATTATAAAGCATGATAAGGTAGAAAGGTAGCAAAGCAATCATCCAAACCCCAGATTATTATCTTCAAAACAGTATGGCTGCTTCATACAGAGCATTTAGATTTTGGTCAGGGAAGAACTGAGGATTTAATCAAAATCAGTTGCAAATTCATGTTCAATTCAACCAGGCCAAGATTCCAGTCAAAGAGTAAGGACCAATTCTGCAAAGAAGAAAGCTAGAAAGAGCTCCACTGACTTGACCTGAGCTTTTCGCAATCACAAAGTTGCTTGTTGTGGCATTTGCAAAATAGAATCTACAAAGCAAGCAAGCAGTCTTGCATTCATCTTTACCTCTTCCATTGGGTGATATTGGGTATAGTTATAACCCTCTGGGACCTGCCTGGGGCTGCTCCTTTCCCTTGGCATGCTCTGATCCACAAGTTCCTGCACATCAGGTATTAGGATGCTGAGGGGAGAGGGAAGGGGAAGGTAGGAAAGAAACCAATCCCTAATAGTTACTGCAGAACTATCATGGTGGGTACATTGCTTACATCAACAAATGAAAGGATTTAGCCTCTTCTGTTGTGGACTGCCTAGCAAATTCACCGCCATCAGCATAATGATTACTTTCATGTCAGAGGAAGTTCAAAGTACTAAGATTTTTGCTGGATTTAAACAACAAAGTAGTAACTTTATCAGTTTTTTTTTTTTTTAATTTTTAAGATTGACAATTTTATATATAAAAAGAAAGTGTTTAATATCTTTCTTTTCTACACCACTTGTACTTCTGGGCAAAACTCTAAAATACCACCTTTTGGGGAAAGGAGGGAAAAGTGAAAAATTTACCATTAGTGTTTCACTGTATTTTATGGAGACATTTTCAATTTGCAAAGACTTCACAGAAGTATCCATTGCAATTTGCCAGAATCAGGACAACCTCCCTCTTTTCCTTCAAAATGCTCTTTTTGCTTTTTTACCTACAAATGAGTTCAGAAATGAGTGTAGCACAGGTGTGATTCCATGATCAAGGGAGTCACTAAAACCTTTTCCTTGGCTTCAGGAGACTTTGGATCATACACTGCGCTTTCTCAGCGCAATCAGGCCCTTGTAACACTGTTACAAATCTGTGCTCATTGTAACACTTGTGATAAGACAATTGCAAAGGCAGCTTAAACACTTGAACACTGTTGATTTCAACCACTGTAAATGCTAATGGACTATTCTGCTGACAGTAGCCCTGATTCACATTTCTGGAAATAAGAAACTTTTAAGAGTAGTTACAGCTGATTTTCACTCTAATCTTTGATGTTTATTCACATCTGAACTTCAAACTAAAATTCAGCCAGTGTAAATTCCCTTGAAATGCAGCCACACACGCAAAACGCCTTATCACAGTCTGGTGAATTGAAATCCCAGAGTCTGACGCAGTCAGAATATTGATGTCCTGATTATAATTTGTCATTTATGTCTCTCTCATTATATACGTAACTGGCATGTTACCTTCCTTGCATGTCAACTGACTTCTAAAAGGTGGTTCCTGCTTTGAATATGTTATAGGAACTTTAACTCTAACATTGCCATACTCATCTTACGCCCTTTTCAATACAAAGCCAAATTTCAGCTTCACTCTTGATTTATCCACCTATTTCTTTAGGTCCCTACACAATGTGGATACAGTTCTAGCCCTAAAGCAAGAAAAAGAGAAAAACCACGAACAACTAAGCTGCTAACTTGAGTTTAGTTTCTAAATTTTCACTAGAATCAGTTGTAACCGTCAGAATATGAAAAGCCTTGATATAAATAAGAGGTTAAATATCTTCTGGAATGTTGCCTAAGTCCTGAATGTCTAAACCTGATGTTAGATAATTTGTACTGGCTTCCAACTCATCTCTCTCCATCTCTGGTTGTCAGGGCATCACACTTACTAAAAAGAATTAATGGGGAAAGATGTAGGATGTCAAGATCAACTTTAACACTTCACAGCTTTGAAGTGGCACCAATCATCCTTTAACTTATCTTTAACTGGTAAATATGTATGTGTATGTCCATAGGCTGTTTATCACCAGCCTTGAATGACTACAGGATTGTCTGTATGAAATATAGCTAGCTACTGGTTATCTGAAAAAGTAGATCTTATTTCAAGCCATTTGGCTTTATAAATACACTTTGCATCTGGATTAGATGATCTTCTAGTTTAAAGTAGAAGCTGGCAGTCAGTGAAGATTTGTGGCTGGGTGGGTATAATAAAGCATCATGGGCCATTTGCAGCTCGTGGCTCCCAACTATGTGCACAATGGGCGGCTGACACTGCGACCTTTGTCCCAGGCTGGAATGTCTCTGTTTGGCTGGGTGGTACCAGGAAATTCTCACCAGCCTGGAGGGAGATAGGGGTAGGAAACTACAGCTTGAAAGAAACCGGCTGAATGTTCACTTTGTAAGGGCTCTTCTCCAAACCAAAGGAGCAACAAAAGACTAGAGAAGAGGAGAGCTACTGAGACTGCTTCTCTTCAGTGACACTAATTAGACCTTTGGGGACTCCAAAATAGAGAGGACCCTGTGTTCAAATATCACTGCTTTCCAAGAACAAAGCATTCTCCTGTAAGTAGTGGTTGTACCAGGTTTGGCTCCCTGACTTTAGGCTAAATAAAGAGTTGCACCTCTGAGCTTCGACCTCTGGCACTGAGAAAGCAACAGCAAGAAACAAGAGAGATTGGGCTGTCACAGATCCCAGTTCCAAATGCACAGCCCAGGCTAGTTGGAGGGGAATGTGCTTTTAAAACTCAAAGGTGTATATATAGCACCTGTGCATTGGGCAGGTCAAGGTAAGTCAGAGGCACTTGGAACAAAGGTTGGCTCCTCTCATCAGTACTTGCTGACTGTTCATTGGAAAGGGCTAGGTCATGTTGTGATAGGGAGGAATATTGCCAAAGCCAGCCTTTCCCATTGTGAAATTAGAGGTTGTACCTGTAAGAGATCATATGCTGATCTAAGCTGTCTTTCACCTCCTGCACCAGAGGGGCTGGGACCCTCACATGCAGGTCTTCTCCAGCCCCAATGTCTTCAGGTAGCAGAGGCTTCCACAAATCCAGCTGTGCAGAGAAGAAAGAAATTCACAGTCCAGTCAAGCCGGTTTTGGAATGAGAAAATGTATACAGTATGGAGTAGCTTCATATCAATAAATGGAAGAACTTTTCCTTCCAATTCTCCCCTTAACCATTCTCCAGCCGTAGTGTTTCTGTTGGCTCAGGCACCACCCATAAGAAGCAGCACCTTCACAGAGCCGTGCAAGGAAACTAACTTCTTTCCATAAAGAAGAGCAATTCCACCCTACAGTAAGAAAAGTTAGTTAAAGCTTTTTCAAATTTACTTTAACCTTCATTCTTGTCCAAAGTTACATGTAAATCTGTTCTGTACTCCAAGACCCCACTCTGCTTTTTGGGTACACATGGTTATTCTTACTTACCAGTAAACTGCTGCAAAGATGCTGAAGAAGCTGGACTTGCTGAAATGTTTCTGGCACAATATGCAAAACCTGATCCCTGGAAATTCAGCAGAGAGACAAGATCAGTTTTAATGTCTGTTAAAGTATCCATGATTCCATAAATCAAAAGGAGATATTTTGTTACGTAGAAGGAAGACAGAGCATGTAAATGAGTGCTCTTCCAAGAAAAACGTTTCTGAGTGATGAATTCCTGGAATGTTCTAGCTGCAAACAGGACTAAGTGATGTGAGTTTTCTGTTGCTTGAGTGTTAAGTCTACTTCCTTGCGAGTGGCAACTATTTATTCACCATTCTCCACTGAAATCAGCTGCTCACATGAGCTCTGGTTGTCAGGGCATCTGTATTTCTGCCTTTGCAGGACCAGAGCCAAAACAAAATCATTTGTAATATATAATAAACTATTTATTTTATAAGATGTTCCAGATAGATTTGGTGCTTTGCTCTTCTACTTCAGCATGCAAACCCATTAGATAATCATGGGAAATTAACATTGATAAGAGCTTGGGATGTTCAGGAACTACTTGTCATGAGAATAGTCAATTTATTCCATAAATAGTGACTAGTGTGCTCTCCAGACTTGCATATTCTTATCCAGTTTGCAGGAAACAAAAATTTCTAGTACAGGGTATATAATTTTATACTTCTAGCAAAGAAAGACATACAGATCCAGTGTCTGAGTGTGTATTTTTGTGAGGACCCATGAAACTTTAATTTACTACAGTCTTAATCTGAAAAAAATATTTAAAGTTTAGAAAGAACAACTTAAAATAGTTGGAAATGCAGAAAACCCAAATCTGTATCTTCTATTAAAATTCTCTTTGTAATTTTTTCAGTATTCCATCAGATCAACTTTCCAGGACTGACAGTAAGTGTGCCATTTCTAATGAAAGAGTTTCAGAATGAGGAGTGCATTTTGATGACTACATTACATCACTCAACAGTAAGACAGCAGTTATCCACTACTGATGTGATAGAATGGGGAACCCTAGAAGTGTTCCTATTTGTTAGCAACCAATTCCCAGTCTCCTTCACTGACTTCAATGAGCCTTGGAGTTTCTACAAAAGTACAAAAAAAGAACATTTTACATGTTAAAGCTTTTGTAACAGAATTTCTTGTTGCAAAAGCCTTGCATGGCCATAGTCATTATGGCCATCAATATAATATGCTCTCATCATTTGAACTGCAACTGCTATCATTTGTGCTTCCATAAACAAATGTACAATTATCAGCTTAATATACATGCAAATAGAATTCACTATTCATTCACATTATCCACTGAAAAATAGGGGGATATGGGGCTTTTTTTACATCTCTTTTGAAAATATAACCTTTGTTGATAGAGAAACATAGAATTGATTGTTAAAATGGGCTGTTTACTACTGGTTCAGGAGATGCTGTTAGCATATAGGGCCTTCATATATGGGGCAAAATGATTACATTTGCATTGGTAACAGTTTGGTATAACAGCCATGATAACTTTGTAATAAACCTTGTAGATGCAGGATAAACATCTTAGCTAGGAGACCTTCTCAGCTGCAGTTCAGAGTTTATTCTTTCTAAATGCCTGGGCTTGCTTTGCTCTTTGTTTATCAGGAAAGGAAACAATATCCTGTAATATCTTTCTATCCTCATTGACATTATGTCTTCATTACACCAAATGAAAGAAATGCCAGACAGTCAGATTGCTGCCAGATGGCCAGCTCTTATTTACTGATAAACCTTTTACAATAGCCAGTGCGGAGACAAATCATTTTTAATAGTAAACTAAGATTAGAAAGCACACATTCATTTATGATTATGAACTAGGACTCTCAGTGGAGAACTGCAAAGTCAACTCATGTGACCATGTGAGAACAACAGTTTTTAAAATGCTACAGTTAAGCTTTCTTACCAAGTTGAAGGACAGCCTTCCAGTATCTGAAGGGGAGCTATAAGGATGCTGGGGAGGGACTCTTCATTAGGGACTGTAGTGACAGGACAAGGGGTAACGGGTTCAAACTTAAACAGGGGAAGTTTAGATTGGATATAAAGAAATAGTTCTTTAGTGTAAGGGTGGTGAGGCACTGGAATGGGTTGCCCAGGGAAGCTGTGAGTGCTCCATCCCTGGCAGTGTTCAAGGCCAGGTTGGGCAGAGCCTTGGGTGACATGGTTTAGTGCGAGGTGTCCTTGCCCATGGCAGGGCGATTGGAGCTAGATGATCTTAAGGTCCTTTCCAACCCTAACTGTTCTGTGATTCTATGACTGTTCTCAGCATAACCTGTATTTCCTTGGATGCTATAGATTGGATATTTCACTTAAGTTGTTGAACAGAGCAAATGACATCGAAAATGGGCTTTACTAATTATTTCATCTTTGTGCAGATGGTGCCTACCCAAAGTCACACTGACCACTCAAATTAAGAGTGTTTTTAAATGCCATACAAGTACTCAACAGGTTGAATCCTGGAGAGCAGTTAGAAACAAAAATGAACACTACATTACCAAGAATTCATTGAATTATATTCAGTGAAACCAACAGGCTCTGACTGCAACCCTCATACAAATCTGAAGACTAAATATTATCAAAGGAAAATAACACATTTTAAAGAGAGAAATAGTGACTCTGTATATTCTGCCAGGAGCTTTGTCAGGAGAATTGTTAAATGAGTATGCTACAAAAGAACTCCTTTGCAGTAGGTATTGCTTTATTTTTTCTCCTTTTAAAAGTTGTATTCTGGGGATATAATCAACCTAGAAGCATTCGGCACTTTTATCCAGGTACTTTCTCTGTTTACTTTAGAAAATGCTGTGTATAAAATTCTATGTGGATAGCTGGCTTCCACACTATATTTGTGCGCCTCCTGCAAATCCCAACTGCTGTAACCTATCTCTCTTTGTGAAGTTGAGGGTGGATGAAACAAAATAGCTTAGATAGGCAAACAGCATAATTTTATATCACTTATTTTCTTACAAAGCAGGACCAAGAGTGGAGAATAAAGCAAAACCAGACGTTTCATACTTTTCAAAACCCTTTAATCAGTAAAAAAATAGGATAATCTAGTTCTCAGGACACCTTTGGGTAAGGATTGTCAGGACAAAATTCATTAGTTTTTTCAGTTATTGATACAGATTTCCAGCAGGGTTCAATGTCTAAGCTGCTTTTGAGACACCGTCTTTTTCACGTAACTTCAACTGTCTTTTATTAGTGGGTATAATTTTCCACAGCCATCCCCCACACTTTATACTGAGAAAAGGTATTCTATTCCTATGACATCTTATTTCAAAGTTCATTATGAAAGAGGCTAAGCCAAATGAATTTCAGCTAATGGAAGCAGAGCATCCTGAGGTGCATTTGAGGGGCATTCTGTGTCTCCTCCAGCTGCAGCCATATCTTTCTTGGCTTGGATTTGGTTCCCTCTTTCTTCATTTCTCATCTTTATGTTTTCTTTCCAAATCTTACAATGCTTACCACTTTGTAACCTTATCTCCAGCATTTAAATTCATAATTATTATTAATCTGACAGAGTTTGTGGGAATATCACTGCATGCACCATTGTTCATGATACCCCCTTCACACTCACCCTTCATATTGCAATTTCAAGCTGAGTTTTCCAGGCATTAGCATCCCCAGAGAAAAGATGACCCGAAGGAAAAGCCACATCTTTGTGCGCAGAACCCAGATGCAACAGTGCGGGACTAGAGATAAGAAGGACTGAGCATTTTATTTGTACAATCATAATATATAACCAGATTTCTCCTGGAAGGGAACCTGCCCTTGTTGAATCATTAACTTAACTTTTGAATAGTTCTGTTTTTTCTTGGTTCTACAAGCTCTCTTCCACATCCCAAAACATAATATGTACAAACAGCACATTCTCACTGAAGCACTTCTAAGAAGATTTTTCTATATGTCACCTTCAAATCTTTGAAAATGTTATGTGACAGATTTGGTAGTCATTGGAGAAAATGTTACCTGCAAGGTCCACAACAACTAGTGAAGATTAGCTTAAAAAATCATAGGGATGGGAAGAACTTGAGAACAGCTCAAGTTCCTTCCTGCATTTGTGTCTTTGTGGATCACTTCTGCACCTCTTAAGTGCAGTTCTGCCATTTATCTAGCCAAAAAAAGGACATGAAAGTAACAACCTTCATTCCTGTAACGGGAAAGTTTGGGACATCAGAGTCTTATCTAAATCACTTTCAGTTGGAGCAGATCAGTCTCTGGCTATCAACTTTACACTGTCATAAGGAGTGGTTTTGTTAGTGGACTGGTTTGAATATTTAATTTCTTGCTTAGTTCATATATCAAGAGTAAACAGTTGAACTTCTGCTTAATAGGCTATAGTTAGACATATAGCACATTTCTTCAGAGAGAAATTGTTTCAGCTTCCCTCTTGGATTAAAGCTATCCCATGGTGGTTTAATGCAGAAAATGGCATGAATTTGGGGTAGAGTCCAGGAAGTCAGTTTCTTTGTGTACACGTGCAATGGCCATTAACTATAATTATAGTATCTTTGTAAAACGAAGTATGAAGTCCTCTTACATTACTACCAAGGCTGTCTTTCACCAAGGAAACAGGCAGCAGAACTGTCTCGGTATAAAAGAACAGCTTAACTGAAAGGTGTGTTCTCACTAAAGGAGGCTGTATGCAAGAGAATATGTTCTTCTTCACAAATCTCACCACCTTTCTTACCTTATTGCCATGCACTATAACCTGCTCAACAGCCTGAACCTGAAAACTGACTATTTCCCTCCATGTAGAGGAAGTCACCTGCAGTGACTTCCAGAAAAGCTGAAGGAAGTCCAGATTACATAGAGATCCATTTGTGAGGACTCAGAAAAACAAACTCATGTTGGAAGACCATATTCCATATTGACACTCAGGACATCTTCTCAGATAACCTTTGCTTTTGCTTCCTTTGTCTTCACCACTGCTATGAGGTGGACTAATCTTTTGAAGTTTTCTGTAGTGTTGTCTGTGCCCTTTTACCAGAGCTGTCTTTGAGCTTGGGTTCAATCCCTTTACAGGGACTCAGAATATAGGAATAAGAAAAATGGAAGCATAGAGGAAAAAACCCAAAAGGCTTACTTTTTTTTTTCTCTTGCAAAAAGTATATGCACAAATAGAGAAAATCGTGATACACACTAAAATTCAACTCCAGCCTAAAGCTTACATCTCCACACTGAAAGCAGAAGCTATCTACTGTGTGGTGAAAACATCACTCCTATGATGCCAAATAGTGATGAAGATAGATTGGGTCATTTTGCTTAATGGGCACAGGATTCAGAAGAAATGACAGTTGCTTTCTAGGTCTTTGATTCAAATTCCTTTGAAGTCTTGTTGACTTTAATGGGCTTCAGATGAAAGCCTTGTGCACATTTCTCACTGATTTCAAAAAATGAACTTGTTTTGGAACTTCAGCAGATTTGTTCATAAAAGACAATACTTAAGTATGTCTTAAGTACTTAACGTTCAGCTTGCAAGCAGAATTGCTGAATTCAGAATAAAAGCCATTAGAGACATTATTCTGCCACCAATGCAAAAATATCTTGCGATGAGTAGTTTATGTCAACAAGCCTAATGCCCTCTTAGGCATACATAGTGCCTCAGTAATAAAGTCTGTTCTTTGGTCAGGTTCTTACTGGCAGCTGCTTATCTTTCCAGCAAACATGGAAGACAGCTTAATCCATTTATTCCCTCCTTGAAAACTGTGCAAAAAGACATGGGACATCCTAGGGAGAGGAAGGGTTGTAAACATATGGCGCAAACATGCCATCTGAAACCATGCAGTGTCCTTTCTTCCAGTTTACTTTGCAGTTCTTCCATACATTCTTCTTAGAGCCTCAGAGCATTTTTTCAGCATCAGTTTAGCCTCTCAACTGCCCTGTAATATTATCAGGGCAAAGTAAATTACAAGCAAATATTATTTCCACTACTTGAAAGATTAAGAAAAAAGGGGGAAAAAGTGACTCCCTAAGGTGACATAGGAAGACTGCTGCAGAGCTAGGAATAGAATTCAGATGTCCTGACTCCTTGTCTGGTGCTTCCTTAAATATATGACCATCTGCTCTCCTACTGGAAGTATAGATACTATATGCTGACTCCAAGCAGGCTGCTAAGCCTGTTAGTTTATCCTCTTTTTATCCCATACTGATATCATCTCAAGCTAAGCTGTTGGCCTGGAGTCAAAGTGATTTCCAGTGTTTGAATGATTCGACCTGCTTGTTATTGTTTTAACCTTGCACCACACATATGCTTAGCTATTTGTGACTTATCTGCATACAGTCTGTGTAACAACAGCCACAAGCTAGAACTGTTTTGTTTAAAGATTCCATCCTGAAACATACCACATGTTTTAAACAACTATCATACAGCAGTGAGTTTGATCCTGGTAACTGCCTGAACCCAGATTTCCTACTGAGCTGCATGTAACTTTCAAGGACAAAGAGAGTATTAAAAAGACAAAAAACTTAAGCACTTATATGCCTCCACAAACATCAGTCATCATGTTAGGCTTTCCCAGTTCCACAGCTAAATCCTGCTCTGACTCCATCTGAACTAAAAGCCAAACTAGAACTAGATGGAATTCAACATAATCATCATTTTTCAAATCATCACCTTGTTCCTGAAAAAAATCATCCTCCAGTAAATCCCCTTCTCTTTTGCTGCAGAAACTCACTGTATGAACACAAGACAGAATCACTACCCAGTAGGGTCAATACAATAGCATGCCGATTAATGTGCCTTAAATCCTAGTCTTCTGTTATACTGAAGAAGCAAGGTGGATAATTCAGCTGTCTTACTAAAATATCCTCTGGTTTTCTCTGTGGCTTTACTTGGAGTAAGCACACAAAGAATTGACAGTTCTGTTTCCAAATGATTTTTCATAGGAGATAGAATACTGTATAGGTATTGACTTGTTCTATGAGTACTAAAAGATATTTCTGTCTTTCTGAGCAGTGTTCAAAATATTCCAATTCTTTCTACAATGTTAAGTATATGGTCTTAATTCTGTAGCATATCAATATTCAGCAATACGTTGTATGGTTTGCAATCTGAATCGTTGTTCCTCTCAGCATCCCAAGTCTTCAGCTTTCACAGCTTTGTTAGAGAAAGGTTCTTCTGAAATTCTCTGGACTCCACTGTGATTCAACAGTGCTAACTGTTCTCAAGTCCCATTAGCTCCAGCAACAATCCTAGCGTAAGTGGGAATATACTGGAAGTTATGCTAAGTTACAACTCTTCTAGAATCATCTTGCGGAGTTCTTTCTCTCTCTTTCTCTGAGGTTACACGGAAAACACCCTATTAACCTTACATTTGGGATATTAAAATAATCTTAAACCATGAAGAATTCCAGCCAACACACATTAGGTTAGAATGATTGTCCTGGGGTCAGCAGTAACAGTCATTTTTCTCCTTCTTAGTAGTTGGTCCAGTGCTGTGTTTTTGACTTTCAGCCTGAGAACAACGCTGATAACACCGATGTTTTTAGTTGTTGCTCAGTGATGTTTATGCTGACCAAGGACTTTCTGAGCCTCATGCTCTGCCAGGGAGGAGGGGAAGCCAGGAGGAAGCAGAGACAGGACACCTGACCCAAACTGGCCAAAGAGGTATTCCATACCACAGCATGTCATGCCCAGTATATAAACTGGGGGCAGTTACCTGGAAGGGGTAGATGACTGCTTGGGTCTGGCTGGGTATTAATTGACAGATGATGAGCAGTTGTATTCTCTTCCCTTGATATTTCCCTTATCATTATTATTATTGGTGGTGGCAGCAGTGTTTTGTGTTACACCTTAGTTACTGGACTGTTCTTATCTCAACCCATGGGAGTTACATTCTTTCCATTCTGCTCCCCATCCCTCCGGGAGCCGGGGGAGGAAAGGGGGGAGAGTGAGCTAGTGGCTGCATGGTTCTGGGTTGCTGGCTGGGCTTAAACCACGACAATGATAGTACTAGGGAACTTAAAATTAATTCCATTAAGCCAGCCTTAATTCTCCTGCAGATTGTCAAGTAACGAAGGACACTTAAGCTTTAGCTTAGTGGATCTAATTTGGTGATTGGTACATGATCTAGTAATTTCAAGAGATGCACATTTAAAGATCCTTTCAAAGATTTCTCCATAGTTTTTACAGCATTTATACATGTACATACTCACATATTTTGAGCTCAAACTGTAAATATCAGTGTTGTGCCAGGGTGTGAGGTAACATATGCCTTTTCAGCACAAGTCCTGTGGTGCAGTTTTTAGACAGCTTTGTTGTCAGAGAAGAGCTTCAAGTAGATGTTCAGTAAGCAGTTCCTTATGCAAGGGGGCTGAAGCAGGCTGACAAAATCTGTATTGGTTTAATTAGGCTGGCAGAGCAGCTTCTTCAGACATCATTTTCTTTAGCCAGTGAAGGAAAATGTTACTAGTAAATTGTCTTCCCTTAGTAACAGATGGTTATTCTTCCTTCATTCTTCAGACAGCAGAATGTCACTGCTAAAGAACTTGAGGCTGGTCATTTACCATATGATCTGAATTCAAGATGATATTTATCACCTGTTATTACAAGGTAATAAACACTTTTGGTTCAATTCTAGGAGTTGAGTGATCACCTTTATGAGGAGCTATGCACAAAATTCTGCAGTCATTATGTAAACACAGTTACTGTAGGA